GATCAGCAGTAAACGCTCAAGCAGCTTTAAGCGGGCCATCGCCAACGGACAGAGGGCCCTGCCCCGGGACGGGCTGCTGGATGAGCCAGGCCTGGGCGTCTACAAGCGGTTTGTGCGCTACGTCGCCTACGAGATCCTGCCCCGGGAGGTGGACCGCCACTGGTACTTCTACCGGCACCGCAGCTGCCCACCCCCCGTGTTTATGGCCTCGGTCACCCTTGCCCAGGTGTGCCCACCTGTCCACCACTCTGGGAACCGCCCCCGTGCCTGGCCTCGCCTGGCCCTAACTCCTCTGTCTCCCAGATCATCGTGTTCCTGTGCTACGGGGCCCGTCTCAACAAATGGGTGCTGCAGACCTACCACCCTGAGTACATGAAGAGCCCCCTCGTGTACCATCCCGGCCACCGTGCTCGAGCCTGGCGCTTCCTCACCTACATGTTCATGCACGTTGGGTGAGTCCGGGCCCGCCTCTGGCATCTCTCCGAGGGCGTCAGGAGGACTCAGGCCCTCGAGGCCGGGGCTGGTGGCCTGACCGCTGCCTTCACATCTGTTTACACCCACACGGCCAGCCTGGAGCAGCTGGGGTTCAACGCGCTCCTGCAGCTGATGATCGGGGTGCCCTTGGAGATGGTGCACGGTCTGCTCCGCATCAGCCTGCTCTACCTGGCCGGCGTGCTGGCAGGTGAGGCAGGCACGTGCCCCCTGGCCTTGTCACTGGTGAGCCTCACCCTCACTGCTCTCCCTTTGCTCACACAGGCTCCCTGACTGTCTCCATTACCGACATGCGGGCCCCTGTGGTGGGGGGCTCTGGTGGGGTCTACGCCTTGTGCTCGGCACACCTGGCCAACGTCGTCATGGTAATAGGGCGGACTGCGGGGCGGGCGTGGGGAGGGGCCCACGAGGCCTGTCTCACAGCCTCTGTCTCACGCTCCATCAGAACTGGGCTGGGATGAGGTGTCCCTACAAGCTGCTGAGGATGGTGCTGGCCTTGGTGTGCAGTAAGTAGGGGGTCAGGGGGCTGGGGGGCCTCAGCCTAAGGCCAGGGTGCCTCCCACCTGCTGCCTTTCTCTGCAGTGAGCTCCGAGGTGGGCCGGGCCGTGTGGCTCCGCTTTTCCCCACCACTGCCTGCCTCAGGCCCACAGCCCAGCTTCATGGCACACCTGGCAGGTGCAGTGGTCGGGGTCAGCATGGGTCTGACCATCCTGCGCAGCTATGAGGAGCGACTTCGGGACCAGTGCGGCTGGTGGGTGGTGCTGCTTGCCTACGGCACTTTCCTGCTCTTTGCCATCTTCTGGAACGTCTTCGCCTATGACCTGCTAGGCGCCCACATCCCCCCACCACCCTGATGGGCTCCTCAGGGCCACACAGGCCAGGGTGCGGGCGTGTGTGGGCCGGCCACCGGGCGAGCCCGCGTGTCTGTCCTCTGTGAATGTACATCTCAAGACTGCTTGTCCTCCGTGGGGACTGGTGGGTCCTGTAAGCCCATGGTGTCCAGGCCAAGCCTTACATCAGCCCTGGCCACCCCCTCCCAGGCCTGGGGAGGTAGGACTGCCTGGCCAGGCAGTGGAGGTCCCCAAGTGTGGCCCTGGAGGAGACCCTGCCCCAGCCTCCCCATCACGATTTGCGGTCTGAGCCTTTTTGGAAAACGAATAAATATTTTACACAGCACCAGGTGGCTGCACCAGGGCTCTGAGGGCGGGCCTGGCCTCCTTCCCACTCGCTGAGCAGACCGTAAGGGCCTTTCCCTCCATGTGGACAGCTTGGGCTCCTCCCTCACTCTTCTGCACTCGTATGCTGGGGGGGGGGGGGGGGGGGGG